AATCAATATAATAATAAATAGTTGCAGTAAAATGATAACAAGAACAGGCCCCACACTCTATAGAACCTATTGACAGACTTTCTATGTATATTTGTATAATTATATCTGGTTATTTTAATATAATAATAATAAGAGTAGTTGTTGGGAAGGTAACAACTAATAGGGATAATGCACACATATATATATCTATATATATATAGATAAAACTGCGTAATTTCTGAAAGATATACATGTTTTAAACAGTGATTACTTTTCGTTTCGTTTCTGTTTTTCATAAATGAATAAATAGTATAATGTGTTGAATGTGGCTGGAGAGCACTCTAGGTGAGGCTATATATACAGAGGTAGAGAACATTTTCTTCCAGCTGAAGCACTGGGACAGTTTTTCTCAAGGCAGAGTAAAAGTGTCTCTCTAGAAAATTAATCATGCAAAGGTAAGAATAGCTCACTACAAATATCCAAGGACCAATTAACATTTGAGCGTATATAAAGTTTTGTGTGTGCTCTAAAAATCTCCTCAACTGAAATTAAACAGTGTGTGTTTGGTAAAGTTATTGATGCTTATTGATGGACAAACAGCAGCAGGAAATACTTTTAAAAGACCTGAAGCAGACAGTTTTTATTTCCTTTGGTTTGTATGGTTGCAGGCGGTCATCAGTTTCCATGGATGCTTATGTAAGACACAGCGGAGGCTTATTGTCAGTCGTCATTTCATTTGACCAGCAGCAGCACCACCTGAAGAGTCGCTAAAGCAACAACATCTCACTCTGCTTGTATTCCTGGGTTTCACATACAGTATATTGTCATTATAACAGCCTGTATGAGGGAATTTGTGTAAATTAAATGTTGAAATAACATTTGAGATTAATTTGAAACAAAGTAAAGCCAAGATTAGTGCTGAAACTATTAGTCGACTGAAAGAAAATTAGTTATTTCCACAATTAATTTATTGTTTAAGCAATTTATTGAGCAAGAATGCAAAATATTTCCTGCTTTTCTGTTTTATATTATTGTAAATTCAACATTTAAAGGTCCAGTGTGTAACATTTAGAAAGATCTATTGGCAGAAACTGAATATAATATTCATAGGTATGTTTTCATTAGTGTGTAATCACCTGAGAATAAGAATCATTGTGTTTCTGTT